GGAAAAGTATGACTCTATCTCTTCTCCCCTTTAGCTATGGGTTAATTAGTAAGACTTGTATCACTAAATCAGTATTATCACCCCTCCAAAAAAAGAAATTCTTATGATCTAAAAGTATTTTCTGACTTTAAATAGCCCTCAAGGTGTTGATAAATCATAAAAAAAATGAATGAATCAATGCCTTGATCTAGCTATTGTCTTACCACTATGTGTGATTTATTTCTGCCACACCCTCTATAAGGTTGGGGGGTATTCAAGAGTCTCCAGCCCAACTCATTTTCTCAGATCCATATTTGGATGTTTGACTATTGAAATACCGAATTTTGGAGTTAGGTTAAAAAGCTTTTGTTTTTCTCCTTATAAAAAAAAAAAAAAAATGATGTGCTCCTCTTGTATGACTTTGAATTAAAGATTTCAATAATGAAATGTTGTGTATTATTTTATTTGTAAGCAAGACCTGTAAATGCTGGGCATGAATTAGCCATCTATAAAGGTCGTATTTAGCATTTATTAAAAAAAAAAGGAACGTATTTAGAACCCAACAATGATCTATCACCACGATTAGTTTAGCAATGATCTGAATTTGTGCAAATGTTTGCTTTTCATTAAATATGCAGGATATGCTAATGTGTATCTGATTGGGAGATTGGAGACAGGTTACTTTTCACTGATTTTTCTTCTTTCCTATTTTTGTACTTGTTCATAAATATTACTCTTTTTTTTTTCTCTCTTTCTTTTTTAATCTGTGTGTCTCCACATCATCCTTACTATCCTTTGGCTTATCCTTTCTTTTGGATGTAAATTCTTTTAGTTTGAAAGCATTAAAAAGAAAGAAAAAATGTATATTCTCTTCTACACACACACACTTTTCACTTTATGCTTTGAACTACTGAAAAAAATAAATAAGTGTGGGACAAGGTTCACTCATTCTGTAAACAAAGAAATTAATAAGAAAGGAAGATGGATTCCATTAATAAAAAAGAAAAAAAAGACAAGTAAAAAAATCTTTTCAAAAGATGAGTAGCAACAGAAGCAACAAAAACTACTCAACCTTTCTCTCTCTCTGTCAAGGAAAAGTATGCAAGCAATTTTTTTATTATTATTTAAAAAAAATCCAGCTGCTGCATTTAAGAATAAATATTTTTAGTGAAAATTATTTCTTTTCTGACGCTGACATTGTCAAACCAGATGTGCAGCAAATTTGTTTGACCAGGGGAATGAGAGGAAAGGCCAAAGAGAAGAGTAAATGCAGAAAAGTATCTATGTGCATAAAATTAAAAGAAAAAAAAGAGAGAAAAAAAACTAACACAAATTTGCATGTGTTTTTTAATGCTAGCTGACTCCATGTATGGCAGATACATGTCAACATGAAGACATCTGTGTTTGTGTCAAATTACAGTCTCTTCCAGGCCTTGTGGGGAGTCATCTCCCACTCTTCCATTTGTGTGTGTACACATACACGTTTGCACAAATATCTAAAAATAAACAGCTGAATTCTATAAAAATATGTTTAAAGGCAAACCAAGAAAGTTTTAAAATTGATATCCACACGTGTGTGTGTGTATATATATATATATATATATATATATATATATGTGTGTGTGTGTGTCTCATTAAATAATTTAGACAAATTTTGTCAACTTATTTTTAATAGGATCCTCTCATAATTACAGACAAATTTCTTAGTATCCTTATTAAAGGAAGAACAAAAATTACCATGTTGTTGCTTATTCATTTTATTCTGAGTATTTTCAACATTAGCACAATGTTGTCACAGGGTCTTGTTTTTTCTAAAACAAAAATTATGTTCATCTGAAAATCAAACTTTTAAATGAAAAATGTTATATACTGTACAATTTTAAAATTTTATCATGGAGACACACATACAAACGTCAAGGGAGGTAACTAAGTTATTGAAATGCCTAATTCTTTTAAAAAAAAATCTATTTAAATTATTAGTTAAATTCTAGATATTTTAAACTATCTACTGTAAACATTTAAAAACATCTGCGCAGTGTTCATAATTAATTTTATTAACAGTTGGTTTCAATGTTTTAATATAGATTAGCTTCAAGAACTTTTAGTTTATGTTTATTCATGAAAAAGTATAGATGTATTTTCAACAATAGTGATAGTAAGAAGCTTGTCTGTAATTATGAATGGATTCAATTAAAAAGAAATAAACAAAACTTGTCTAAATTATTTAATGAGACGTGTCTTAATGAAACCTGCTGCCAAAATATACGCTATATATATGTATATATATATATATATATATACACACACACACACATATTATGTGTCTATGCATATAGTATGTGAAAATAAAATATGCACAAACAAAATCATCCTTTTTCAGAAATTGTATGTACAATTTCTGGAAGTAATATAATACATCACTCACACAGGCTTATTCTTTCCTTCTCTAGAAATAAAAGAACTTAAAAAAAAACCTACAAACTACATTGAATCTTAGCCACCACAACTTCCAAAGTTAACTAATATATATATATATATATATATATATATATATATATATATATATATATATATAAAAAGTGAACATAAGTCAACACTTAGAGATGACAGTCTGTTTCATACTATATGCAATTGTCAGGCCTGACGATTGCATATAGCATGAAACAGACTGTCGCCTCTAAGTGTTGACTTCTATGTTCACTTTTATATTTACACACACTCAATCTCTGATATTGAGCACTTTATTCCATAAATATAGCACACCTTAAGACTATATTTCTTCATATATATATATATATATATATATATATATATATATATATGTGTGTGTATTTGGGCAAAAGTCCTTCTTTTATACATGTTTCATTAAAAAAAACTGACAAGGTACTGCAAATAAGTTTTTCATTTAAATTTTCTTGTGTTTGTACAAGTATTTTCTTTTCTGGACATGAAATATGTAAATGTTTAAATGTTCTATATTTACAAACACTTCCATCTATTCCATTAGCCATAATCAAGCATTTTTTTTTTTTTTTTTTTTTTTTTTTAATATATTATAAAATAAAAATTAAAGAGCAAAAAAGAAAACTCCAAAATTTAGAAATACAACTTTTGCTAGTTTCTCTTTGGTTTTTGTAATGTTCAAGAATGCTTGGAGCTTTAAATATAAACATGCTTAACCAACAGAATGTTGATATTATTTTGAGGAATTGTTGAATTTGTTCCATGTTCCTCATCTGGCTTTTTCATTGTAAATATAGAGAATTATTCTTTCATTGTGGCATTGGCTAACAGAAATATCTGACACTTTATCTTTGAGACCATGTAACAGATGAGCAACAACAAATATACCATAATAGCACAAGGCTTTCTTTAGTCTTTTACAGAATAGTCTTCTACTATCTTTCAAACATTGTTATTCTTTCTATACTAATAATAATCCATCTTTTCTGGATAACCATTAGTCTCCTACACACATACATTTAGAAGAAATTCCTGTTCGTCATTTTAGTTTTCTATTGTTCTATTTTTACCTTTATGTAAGAAGCTATGTATACCAGCTATAAAATGAGTATATTATGCAGTTAAATAGGAATTTGTTGTCTCTGTTGAATCTTCAGAGAGACAATAAAAGGTGTATATTGTTTGCAGTAAATTAATAGTAAAGAAAAGGTATATGGACATCAGAGAAACACATTAAAAGAAATTAAGTTCAGTATTACTTTTTAAGCACTTTCAATGTCTTGCAGTAACTTGAATAACACTGTATCTCTCTGTTCCTCTTCCTTCTCAAGATTCCACCAAGTTGGAAACTGTATCGTTCATCTTGTATTAGATTTCTTACAGCCACATCACATAGAAACACTGGTTTCCATATGATCAACAAAGTTAAGCAAAGGTCAGTACCTACATGGGTGACCACATGGAATACCATGGGTGAGTGGTGTAAGGGATAATGGCTCAGAACTACTGACATTTTTTTTTATTCTTAACAAAATATGAAATTCTGTCTGTTTAATATTTTAAGCCAACTCTAAAAAAGTCATAATTGATTGAAGAAATTGTTTATAGAGTTCTTTGAAACTACTGGCTGAACAGGATAATAATTAAAAAAAAAAAAAGAAAAAAAAAAAGTTTTTTTTTAAGATGCTGCCAAAATGCTGTTAAAAAGACGAAAAGGGTTTTGTATTTTGCTTTCTCCAAAATTCTAACAACACTTAACATTATTTCTGTTGCTTTGCTCTTGAGGATTTTAACAAGTACAAGACTGACTACTGGAAACATTTGAAATCATTCCGGGAGGACTCATCTGCTTGATGAGTCAAGATTGGCATACTCTTCTTCTTTGCTTCCAAGCTGCAAGACGATGACATTTATAAAGACGAATACAATTGTGTTGGGTTTGATGCATGACCAATCTCTGCCTAGTTTGCGGGTTGCACTTTTGTTTTTATTGTTAAGTTCATCATGCATTTGTGAATAGTTTCTCTTGTTCCACGTGTTTAGACTTGTTCCCAAACCCCGCCTACCCACTTGTGTTCATTTGTCTTTTATGAAATGCCCACTTGCAATTTTGTTGTGTACATCTTAAGCAAACACTTGTCTTTGTAATAGATTTTTGGCCCACATTGCACACAGATCTGATGAGGGACAAGTGAAAGAGAAGAACAAAAGCAAAAAAAGAAAGAAATCCATTATGATAAACACCCGGAGAGAAGATGGATGATTATATATTAGTTGTTGATGTGCATGAGCATGCACAATGAGAGTGCATCTCACTCTCTCTCTTTCATATCAGAATTGTTATTTTCCTGTACAAAATACAGGAGCGGTTTGTAAAGAATAAATCTTTATTTTTTTTTTTCTTTCTTTTTTTTTTTTTTCTCCTCCCCCCTCTCTCTGACAAGTAGTTCTGGAGATATGGCTGGATGGCCTCAGGCTGGACAGTACAAGTGGCCAAAAACATTATCTGTTCTGCAGATGAAGAGAACTCTTTCTAATTTACGTGTTCACAATATTTTATGTTTTATTTAGTGTTTTCATCAATTCATTACCTCCCACCCACCTCTTTTTTCCTTTTTCTCCCCCTCGCCCCCACCCCTTTTTCTTTTTCCTCCTTTCTCCTGTGTTTCTCTTTATTTTTTCTTCACTCATCCAATTCTTTTCCAAGTTGAATGAGATTTTTGATTATATGCTCTTGCTTACCTAACTACTTTGGTTGTGCGGATCAAACCAGGACTGGAGGGGGTGGGATTTGTCGCCTGCATGTCTTTTTTTTTTTTTTTTATTTATTATTGCTGATAAATTTTGCTGTACCATGCCTTTTGAAAACATTGCTGGAAGTCTCTTCTATAGCTTGGCATTTTCCATTCCACGGCTTCCCAGCTGTAAATGCAAAATGATTCTTAATCGATCAGAAATGAAAGCAGTCCACTCTTTTTTGCTCTATGTGGATTTAGAAATGGGTGTTTTTCACTGGACATAAATTCTCTTCACCTTGATGAACCGTTCTCTGGATTGGTTTGTTTTACGTCATATCAACCTCAATGGGTCAATTTAATGCTGACAACTTTTTTTTTTTCCTGATAATATTTTCAGGTTTTATTTACTAAGCTTATTTAGTCTGGCATAAGACCATGTTTGACACTATACAACAAACTGATAAAGTTCGGCATATAATGCATTTGAAATATTAAAAGAAATCTTAGTGGCAAGTTTTGGAACTTTGAAATAATATGAATTATTCTTTGGAACTTTGAAATAATATGAATTAATATTAACTGCAGAAATAAAGTTTTATTACATATTTTAAAAACAGTCAATTTCAAAATAATGGTTGTACAGTTGTCAATATGATTCTTTGGTATCCTACCTACAAATATATTTATATCAATATTTATAAAATTTGACAATGGTACAAATGTAAGTCACTTGGTGAGGATCAGACTCAGTTCAGCTGTAATTCTCTGTACAGATCTGTCATATAAATGTCATTTTATATCAGTAAGATTTTTGATTAAGCCAAGTTCTTATTCAGTTCTCTGTGAATATCTACCCATATGGGATTGTCTTTAAAAGGCAAGAGAGGAATATAATTTGATAACTGTTGTATTTTTGATAAACAGTTAAAAAAAATGATCCTATTTCTAGTTGTACTTGTTATTTGCCATTATCTACCAGTAAGCATCATTAGTCCTTTGACTGCACAAAGACTGACTTGTTGCACGATCAAGTTCAGTTCCTTGAATTTGTCTTTATAGATTTTTATTACAAATAATGTTCATAATTCTTGTATGTGTAGCTTATATGTTCTGAATGAAATATTGACTTTAAAGATTTTGCTTTTTTACTTTCCTCTATTGTCTCATCTCTGTCCTAGAAAATTTTATACTCATTCCATGTTTATAACTGTCTTTTAAAGAATCTCTCCCTCTCTCTCTCTCTCTCTCCCTCTCCCTCTCCCTCTCCTCCCCTCTCCCTCTCCCCTCTCCCTCTCCCTCTCTCCCTCTCCCTCTCTCCCTCCCTCTCTCCTCTCCCTCTCTCCTCCCCTCTCTCCCTCTCCCTCTCTCCCTCTCCTCTCCCTCTCCCTCTCTCCCTCTCCCTCTCTCTCTTCTCTCTCTCTCTCTTCTCTCTCTCTCTCTTCTCTCTCTCAAATGTAGGAGTAAAAGAACTGATTAATTAAATGGCTAATTTTGCTTAGGAACTAATTTTGTCTAAATCCAGATGAATATTTTATTTATATAAATTATTAAAACCACTAAGGGAAGTAATTACTCATGAAATTACTAACATTTGTTCATTTACCTCCCTTTCCAATAGAGATGGGACAGGAAATATATAAATACACATTGATAATTACATGGTTTGATGATTGATGTTATCTTGATTCATATTGTTTATTTTAGTATTTCATATCTATTCAAAGTCTGTCTGCTTTGATATATATATATATATATATATACACACACACACATCACTTATATTTATTAGCTGGAGTGGATGGGTGTTTTTCCACTGAGTATATTTGTACACATCTTTCAGTTTGTCTAACTTCTTTTTTTTGTTTGTATTTACATCTTTACATGCATGTTTACCTTTGCATGTATCTACATTTTTATAAAGATAGCATTTACATAAGTTTATATGTGGGCGAGAGTTATTAGGTTTTATCTCTGTGTACTTAGACCTTTTGTATCTCTCTCTCTCTCTCTCTCTCTCTCTCTCTCTCTCTCTCTCAGATGATGAAACCTCCTAAAGACCAAGAAGAATATCTTCAGACCACCTTGAAATGCACAAGATATTCAACCACATACTTCAACACACATTTCACAAGTATATGCAACCCCCACCCCCAAATGTGGTGTAACGGCTAGCAGCTCAAAATGAGAAATTGGAGAGCAGGGTTTGAATTCTAGTCAGTTTTGTTACATTCATTTACATCCAAATAACTTTGAGAAAGGTGTAAATCTGTCTACTCCCCTTCAGGTATGGGATAAATAGTAGGATATGTATATGGAAAAATTATTTTTCTCAAAAAAATTGTTAATGCTATACACATTCAAAAAAAAAATTACTCTCACTATCCAAAGAAAATTTCAAAATAACCCACAAAGAATTACTAAGCCATAAAGAACCAAATATATATAATATGCATAGTGGTATAATGGATAGTGGCTTGGATTGAAAAATTGAAGATCCAAGTTCAAGTTGAGTATGTTACATTCACATATGTGTGAATACCCTTGAGAAAAATATGAATCCATATTTTCTCCCCCCAGCTATGGGTAAACAGTACAGATTGGGCCCTATAGCCTTGGCTGGCAACCAGTCTGGCAGAAGGACAACTCTGAATTCAAAACCTGAGGAAGTTTATTTGGAGACCTTGTAGCACATTGTGCACCAGTTCTTTGTTTTCATTTCCACCAAAAAGAGTGGTCCATTCTGTACAAGTCTTCACCACTATAATCAAAACATGTGCAGGTAGATCTGGTTGTTTGGTTTTAAGAACTGAGCTGCTATACCCGCATGCACTGAAAACAATAAAAACAAGACAATTTGTGTTGATTAACTTTAATGATAGACTTTTCCAAATTACAACTAATCTTTCTTGGACAAAATGGAAATTCCACAAGAAATTATCTGAAGTTCATTTCAGAAGAAAAGGACAAGAAATATGGTCCAAGCTTTTGACTTTGTCATCATCAGGATTATTCATAAATTGGAAAAGTCAGTCAGTAAAATTAATTGACCCATTTGCCTTATAGAACATTTGCTGCCTAAATACATAGAATATATCTGTGTGTGTGTGTGTGTGTGTGTGTGTGTGTGTGTGTGTGTGTGTGTATATAGATATAGTCAACATGCAGTGTTTCTGCCAATTTCCAGTTTTAAATAATCATCAGTCTATTACTCCTTATATTATACGGACTCTATATATAGGTCACTGGACATCTACAGTAAGTGGAGGAAGGGAAATAGGTTTTTACTTTGTGTTTAAAATTGTTTAAAGTCATAAGTTTATTTATTTGAATCATATTTTTTTAATTTTATTTTGTATACTTTTTTGTTTTTAAAGATGAGTATTTGAAATAAAGTTTATTTTTTTGTTTTTCAGAAGTGATATGGTTGTAGGTAGTATGCTAGGAATTTTTCTTACAATTTGGAAATGAGCCTTTATCTGTTGCTTAGAAATTTAAATTGTTTTGAAAAGCCGATTATTATTTTCTTTTAAGCAGAGTTTAGTTTTGTTTAGTTTATCCAATACTTTTGTTAGGTTTTGGTTTGCAGTTTTCAGAGTCCATATGTTTTTATTTGTGTTGCTCTGTCTTCTTTGAGTCACTTCTGTGCTCTTTGAGTTCATTTCTGTGTTCTATTTATATTTTTTCTGGGATTCCTTTGGATCTTACAGTAGCTTGGCATATCATTATTATTTAGTGGACTTTTTGAATTTGTACTGCAGTTACATGTGACTATTGTGGATGATTGTTATGTACTACTGACTTCTATTGTTTTTTTGTTTTGTTTTGTTTTTTTTCTGACTTGTATATTTTTTTTTCTGTGGCTATAGCTAAATTTTGGCATATTTCTGAAATTATTTTTACAGTTTGCTTGATTTGGGGAACAATTTGTCAATGAGTTTGACTATTTTATTGATATTTTCTTTCCTACCGATCACTTGCAATCACCATACAGTGTTGCATTTTCAAGCAATATATCTGTAAATACTCTACCCACAATAATGAGCCGCCTTCTCCCATGACTACAGCAAATTTTAAACTATATACTTTGTGTATGTGTGTTTATACATATTTACTCTTTCTGGCACAAGGCCACAAGTGTATGATATCCAACTGGGAACTCAATATTGTTATAAGTGGGTTAACCATTATCCCATGTTAATGTGTTCTATACATTGACATGTTTGTAAAATTAAGGTTGCAAGTTTCACTTAATCTGCAATGCATTAATTTGTTTAATTCTTCCATGAGTGATTTCTTTCTTTCTTTCTTTCTTTTTATTTTTGCTTTGGACATTGTATCTCTCACTTTTTCTCTCCATCACTCACACACACACACAAATAATGAAAGAAACAAAAAAAGGGAAAAAAAATCTCTCTTCTTTGGGAAAGAACTTGATGTTAATGGATTATGATGGATTAGTGAAAGGATTATAGTGGATTCTGCTGATAATCCGCAGCACCCTTTCTGTTCTTCCTCTTCACATAACCTCAATTTAGCAAACAACAGGCATTAGCAAAGAATTAGAGCTGAACAGGAGAGAGAGAGAAGTTTTCAAGGAAACAATCTAAGCACCAATCTTCAAGAAATAGAATCCCAGATAAATAGATTGAAAGATAAATACAGTAGAAATTGTCCTTGATGTAAGAAGGTTTAATGCTTTATTTGGCTTGCAGCTACACTCTGTCATATATTTACAAGGTAAAACCTGGTATCAGTAGACATGTACTCTTACAAATGTATACAGGCAAATATTCCGGGAGATCAATCACATGTGCACAAACTGAGATATTTCGGCTTTTTATTTAATTGACATAATATCTTCAAAGCTGGAGTGATTTATAACGAACATTACTTATTGTCTTTTCGTTTGTCTACTCTACTTTCTACTTCAGTGTTATCATTATCTTTTTCTTTCATCAACATACAATTGTGTTAGGGTTTCAAGAACCTTGTAAAATCTTATCCATTTTTATTGCTTTCGTTTCCAGCAAATTTAACCTTTAACACTGTTGGTGACTATTTTGCCAAGTAAAATGTTAATCCTGCCAATGCAAATAGAATTTGAATTTCTTGGTTGTGTAGTCATATCCTTCTATGGCAACACCTAAAAGAATCCTGACTGAAATTGAAAGCTACGTTACTGCAGTTTCAAATATATAGAACTGATATATAAAACACTGTATTTTGAGGGGATTTTATATATATATAATATATATATATATATATATATATTACAAGAAGTAATATTTATAAATGATGCAGAGTGCTAAATATTAAAGATCCGAGGGATTTTATTGCCTTCCAATTTGAACCTGTTTCCCTGAACAAGGCTGATGATAATTCCACCTGTTTTCACCATCACTAAATTCTTTCAGATAAATTTCAACTATTCTTGGCTGAAGAATTAGTCAAATGAAAGCAGAGGTTTCTTTTAAAGTGTAAGAAATCTTGACTCCAAAGAAACACAACTTCTCCTTTGTCTTCATCATTTGACAAAGCTGCCTGTGTGACAAATATGTCAAATGAAAATGGGGTTAGAATTCTAGGCTTAAAAAAAATTGGTTCATTAAGGGTGAGGGAAAAGAAAGTAATGCTAATTTTGCATCATCAGAGTTTAAACATGTAAGCACAGCACAAATTGCTTCCTATGAAGATGTCCTAATGTCTGTAAATCTTTATAGGAAACATAAGACCAAATTCTTGCACAGAGATTTTTGCTTTCTGTCAGTTTCATATAAAGCAGTGAGCATTCTCTGGCACTGCTTTCTGCCCATTATATAAATTTAAGGAAGTTACATACTAAAATTGGTTATGGTGGAAGAGTGGGGATTTGAGAAATTGGATTGCAAAACAACTTCTCAGTTTTGTAAAAGCATCTTTCATTTTAATGTTTTCTCAGAATAGATGAAGATTGCTTTTATTTTATTTTTATTTTTTTTTAAATTTAACTGTACAGGAAGAGGCGGGCTTGGTTAAACTTGAAAGAAATGGGAGAGAGTTTGGGTCCATCATGTAAAAATGACCTCTTGAGTCAAGTAAGTTGATACATTCATTTTCCTGTTATTTATGGCATTGTATAAGGTACGGAATTACAACAGTAGAAGGGAAGCCCTTAACTGAGGCCTTTCACACACACACACACATATATATATATATATATATATATATATATATATATATATATATATATCAACATTATATATATATATATATATATATATATATATATATATATATAATATATAATAAAAAAAACATTAATGGTCAGAGTTGAATTAAACGATAAAAAAAATTTAACATATAGAGCTTTTAAGTATAAAAAATTAGGAAATAAACCAATTCCACTACCTTGGTTTTAACCTTTCGGTATCTTCAGGTGATTTCTGTCAATTGATTTCCTACCACTTCATTTTTTAAAAAAAAATTTTAATGACTCTGTTATTATTTAAAAATAAATAAATAAACACACAACGTGAAGTGTAATAGAAGAGGTGTAGGAGAAAAGCATGGGCAATGTTGGAATTTTCTAACACGCCTGCGTTCTTTTTCAGCCATACATGGAATAAACAAAGAAGTGGGATTTAATCTTCTGAGGAATGTTGTTGTTGGTTAGAGGTCTTGCTATGTAAATTATGCACTTTGAGTAAACCCAAATCCCTGTTTAACCCCTCAATGTGTAAATTTATTTTGAAAATTAATTTAAATTCCAATCTTCACCTTTCTCCTCGGCTGTTGGATGAAGATGATAAAAAGCACATATCTGATGTCATCAACACTATGAAATGGTTGGTTGAAGTGTGCAGCAACCAGGGAAATTATTGTTGTCCCTGATGGATTCTTTATGGTTACGGAACTGAAGCCAGAATTCTTTCTTTTTAATTTTACATACATACATACATACATATATATATATATTTAAAGATATTTTTGTAGGTACAAAATTTAATGATCGAAATAAAAGTATAAAATTTAATATTACCAGACATATTAAAACAGTATTAAATAATAAAAAAAA